AGCCATATCCTTTTAAATACTAGAAAAACTATTCAAGTGAGTTTCTTTTTATATGTTCATACATCCTGAGGACTTTATAAATTTGACTTTGATGTTTCTATTTGCAGCGAATAATGGCTATACCGTTGATTTGATTTAAGCGTGTGTTTCAGGTTTCTGCCATTACCACCTCTTTGTATAACTTGTGCTCTTATAATCCATAAAATGCTGATTGTAAATGCAAGTTTGTTTTCGTCACGACTTCGCTCTCACAAGCTTATATGGTCCATTTTGTTTATGCGCCTTTACTTTCCAATTGCTTTAAGGTTCTACTAAACTTCTTCATTTTTCTTCCTTGAAAAGGTTTGTTCACGTTATTATATGTGGACTTCATGATTATGCAGGAGTCTAATTTGTATCATCCACAAATTTATACTGATTAGTATTCGTTGGTAAACATTCTCTTACCTGAAAAGGTTGTGCAAGAGTTTGATCCTTCAACAACTTCAAATTCTATTAAAAGGGCACAAAGAAAACTACAAGGGTAGCTCAGCAAGAGAAGATATTCAAATAAATCTTAAAAAATTCTGTGAAGTTTAACTTGCTACTTCACTTCAGTTCTCTATATGATGTCTTTAACTTGACAATGCATCCTTCATGAATACTCAACTTTCTCTTCTGTAATGTAGGTTTCTGCAGTTAATTGAGAGAAACATATACCGTTGAATGACTGATACTAATGCAATGTAAAACAGAATTATCAGTTTTCGCGAAGTTAACTGAAGTTTGCAATAAGACGAGGCCATCCCTAACTTTTATTCATGAAATATCGTCTCATAAATATGTGGAAATTCCATAAAATATTATTTTTCTGAGACTTCAATTTTATCCATCATGTAGAATACAAGCTAGAGACAACACCAAAAGGTTGATATTGCACGATTGCACGCCTGTGTACCCTGTGCAATTCTGCTGTATTTCACCTTTTTAATGGTATTGCTAATTAACTAATTGCCTAATTTATGCTACAATTAGTCTAATTTAAATCTCTTCATTACAAAGATCTAATCAAACAATCTTAATTCTCATCAAGTAATCTTAAGCAGGCGCTATTTGTTGCCTTTCGCAAACAGTGCTAATACATGTAGCCAATAATCTAAATTTTTATTTTCTTTCTTAATAGTTGTTTATTAAAATGGATAAGTGTGTTTACACATGACTTCAATTTATGAATATTTAGTGCATTACATGTTTAAAAAATAATAGCATTCGCGTGCTTCTTTGTATATTGTATTTTTCATATAACATTTTCTTATAAAAAATTATATATAATATTCCGTGCAACGCGCGGGTAAGGATACTAGTCGTAAAGAAAACGACCAGACTAATAGGGAGTTTCAATCTTAAACTTCTTCAAGTCACTAACACAAACTTATAGCAGTAGTCCTAATCACATTATAAGTAGACTATAGACAGAGGCATTTATGGTTTCTGATTTGCAATTCTACCATATCCCGTCTAATTTAATAGTTCCAAATTTATAATTTGTAGATATTTAATACTCCCTCCGTTTTATATTAAATGAGGTACTTTCCTTTTTAGTCTGTTCCAAAATAAATGACACATTTCTAAATTTGGAAATAATTCAACTTTAATTCCTCATTTTACCCATTTTACCTTTAATGAGAAGCTTTTATAACCTCACAAAAGTCATGGCCCCACAAAACTTTACCCCTTAAGCTTTTAAGACCACAAATTTCAAAAGTCTTTCTTTTTTTCTTTAAACTCCGTGCCAAGTCAAACTACCTCATTTAATTTGAAACGGAGGTAGTAATTTTTTAGGCAAAAATACAGGATCTGAACGCATAGCGTCTACACTGGACACGCCCCTGACTATAGGGTGTTGTAAGACTCTGTTTCATAGTGCAAACTTCAAAGACTTTCTTGCAAGTCCCAGCATATACTTTCTTTGACCCACTTAAAATCCAAGTTCACTTTTGTATTACATTTCCTAGGTAGACCATTGTTTTTTTCATTTTTGGTGGTTAAAAGACCATGTTTTACTTGCACGTAATTAATATTACGAAGAGCAAAATTTTCCTTTTTGTACATTGTTGTTCCCTGTGAGTTTCAATCAAAGAAAATCGTATGAAATTCCAATTGAACAACAAACTGAGAAATCTCTAATTCATGAGAATTGCATGTTGTAACAGCCAAAGGGGTTGAAAGAAACTACTTATTGCTGGATAGGTATAAATGTCGCTATCTGCACAAGAATTGGATTCACACATACTAATACACTAAAGTTTCACTTCCATTTGTTGAATATAGTGCAGGGATAAACATTGGCTATGGCTCGTTTGCCTGTGTTTCTTTGTTTCCTACTATTAGCTCTCATGGGATCTTCCTCGGCTGCTCCATCCTGTCCAACTGTTAAAACGCAGCTAGCACCTTGTCACTCGTACGTCGAAGGTAATCTAAAGGCTGATCCATCGGAAGCTTGTTGTTCAGGTTTAAAGGACATACTTGAGCTTGTAAAAACAAGAGAAGATGGAGTTTCTCTCTGCAACTGTATAAAAACAACAGTGATTGATGATCGCGATATTCCCTCTCGCATTGCTGAACTCCCCAAGAAATGTGGCCTTCCTTATAAAATCCCTCCCATTGATAAGAACTTCGACTGTAACAAGTAAATCCAAAATATTTCAGCCAATTTTTCGCAGAAACTTGCTTTATCTGCTTAGCTAAACTTCTTGTTCTTTTACATGCAGGATTTCTTTGAATTGAAGGGATAGCGCGTGCACAAGGGAGCTGCCTGAACCACTATAGAATTATGAATAAACCATACAAGTTGATATCATTATGTATGAAACAATATTTTAAATGTATTATGTATCTGCAAGCAAGATACATTGTGAAATTCAAATATTTGCAGACTGTTGAATGTTGATGATATTTGATAAATACTTTGGCTTTTGATAGTTTATCTCCAGATGTCAATGATAAGTGACTTCAGATTAAATTTTAAGATGTTGCTGATTATCGTATGGGGTTTAAAATCAGATTAAGTCGGATTATAACACTGCAACAGATTAATTGTTACTGAGGAGGCAAGAAAAAGGTAATATCATTAATTGTTTGTACTGCTAAAGCTAGAGGTACAAAAAGCCAACCAAATGGGAACGCGGTTAATGGAACTCACTGAATGCTTTTCTTAATCTAAACATGAAATGAAAATTTCAATGTTTTAAGGAACGTACAGAGTACTTCTTTGTTGATGATATGCTGTATTCTTGAATAAGACTTCATTTAGAAATAAAAACATGTCTAGAGTATGATGGAAACAAATTAGAAGCGCGCTGTGACAGAACCTGGTTCCCCACTTCTCTTATACAAGAAGTACAAAATATAGCATATTCTTGGCCTGATTGAATAGACTCCAAATAAAAAAGTCGAAAACTGAATCCAGATTAAGGCTCAGTTAGTTTTTCTTTTACTCCCCTTTAACAGACTGAATAAATCACAATCTTGAAATGTGGAGAACTATCAGCATTGCATGATGCTTGTGTGTTAACCGGGCAAGAAATTCAGGCAACAAACTCTTGCCTCACATAATATAAGTTATTACACCCAAATTAGAAAACCGCACTAATCAGTATCAATGGTTAAAAAAAATGGTGAAGATATTCTATACTCTGATCATTCTCTTGCTAGTTTTAGCTGCAGCAGCAATGGCCAAGCCTTCTTGTAACATTGTTTCAAAAAGGCTAGTACCATGTTATTCATACATTAAAGGGAAATATCATTCCATCAAGCCATCAAATAGGTGCTGCAGAGGACTGAATGATATAGCTGATATGGTGAAAAATGGCGAGGAGGGTCCTATAGCTGTTTGCTTGTGCATAAAGGGAGCACTTTTACATGTTCGTTATGATCCCACGCGCATCACACTTGCTTCACAGCAATGTCATACGCGGTTATCTCTGCCTCCCGTTGGCCATAACACTGTTTGTTCAAGGTCTAGTTTTGATAGGGCTGATGTAGTATGATGGCAGTCAATAAACTAAAACCATATAGATTTAAGTTATATCTCTACAAAAAACCGGAAATTGCGGCGGTTAGATAACGACGGTTCAATAAAACCGCCGCAATATATATCATAATACGGCGGTCCAGAAGCCATTAGGGCATATGTTAAAACGGCGTTTTTTTAAGTTAGGCGGTTCAAAACAGCCACTAACTACAATAATTATTAATAATTCTTTTCCCTCTACATATTTAATATTAAAACATCTTTTTAATTAATTCCTTCTCTCACAGACTCAAACGACGGTCTTCTCTCTCTACGCCTTCTCTCTCTCTTTCTTTCTCTCTCAAACGACGATTCCCCCAAATCTTTTACACTCTGTTTGGATCATTGTTCCTCATCGTTTTATAATGTATTGTATTGTATTGTATCGTATCGTTTTATGAATACAATGTTTTGATAGATTGTATTGTTTCTTATTGTTAAATAATATTTTACTGTTTGGTTTGACTGTATCGTACTGTACTATAACTGAAAAGTTTACTAAAATACCCTCAATTGTTTAAATATTAAATTTATCAAAAATTATGCATACAGATAATTTTAAAAAACGAAACAGAAGAAGGAAAAATACCTTAAGAAAGCAGAACAGAGGAGCGAGACAGAACAAGGCAAAACAAAGGAGCATAGCTAATCAGAATTGAGTTAAAAGTAAATTAGGAGAAAATATAAAACAGAAGGCGTTTAAACACCTTTAAGATTGACGGCAGGAGTTCTGAAAAAAAAAAAAAGTAGGTTATAGGCGGGAGATTTGGAGCTAAAATAGAAAAAAAAAGGTAAAGGATAAAATAGAATTGTGGGGTAATAAGTTAGGGCATAATTATAAAGAAAAATAGGAAATAATTCCACCACATCAAATCGGTTGTTTAAAAAGCGGAGACTTTTTATTGTTCGGAAAGAATTTAACAATACAATACAACCAATTTTAATGAAACAATAATTCGTCGATACGATAGAACGGGAACAACCATCCACACAAGGTGTTAGAGTTCAAGACCAAAAATGCCGTTGATTTCAGTGATAAATGTAAGGAGATCAGATTCCAAATCGTTTAGGGTTCAAGACCAAAAGTTCCGTCGATTTCACTGATAAATGTAAGGAGATCAGATTCCAACTCGTTTAAGGTAATGTGTTTGATTTAGCTTTCGATTTTGCTGATTTAGCCATTGATTTCATTGATTTTAGGCGTGGCGTGTGTATTGGACGAAGATCAGTTTAAATCACCGATTTTAGCTGTCGATTCACTGCTTAAGCCGTCAATTTCATCGTTTGCCAGTCAATTTTATTGATTCGGCCGTCAATTTCACTGTTTAGCTGTCAATTTCTGCTAATGGTTTTATTTCTTGTTTCTATTAGTTTTTAATCTGTATTTTTGTTATTTCCTGTTCGATTGGTTTGATATTAAGAGTGTAGTCAAATACATGCTCTTAATGGTGGATAGATTGTCTTCCTTGTCGACCATAGAAGCTTATATCATCCCATGGCTGCCGGCTGAATCCAGCAATACTGCTTTGATTTGATCAGAATGAAAGTCTTGACCTTCTTTGCATCGCTGAGATTACATAAAACAGAAATGACCATCAGAAGAAGAATTCTGTTCTAGAACTCATTAAGGTTTTAATTTAAATGCTCTTGCAGCAATGGGTCCCCTAAGGATGACCATTGTTTGCCCCCCTAACAGCATGTAGATTATGCTTTAAATTAACTTTAAGTATGTAGCCAATGATTCTGTAGTTTGTAGTACATAATCGGTTGTAGTAGGCTTTTGTAATTAAATTTTGTCTCTCGTGTAGGAAAGAATTGAAGAAATTCGAAGACAAAGACCAGAAACTCTGGCAGAAAGTTCACCGAATGACGCGCTTGGTGTAGTCTTCGGTCCTGAGCACCCTGGCCGTGTTCGAGGCTTAGGCATGGGTGCAGTTCCAACTGTAGTATTCAAGGAAACATCAAGAGGAGGTGGTTGTTCTTATATGGGCGCAGCTAGTACTAGTGCTCCACCTCCACAATGGGTGCAAGAGATGGCAAATATGAGATCACAATTAAATGCGCTAACAAGCTTATTACAAATGAAAATAGGAAATATCCCCGAGGAGTTTGCTCACTTATTTCCGACTCCTTCACAGGTAAATCTTCTCTTTATTTTATTGACATATGCTGTCCTAAACATATATTATACTATCTGCTTGTTACTTCCTGTACTGAGTTGCATCAACTGAAACTTAGTTGCCTGATTTTTCAACGGCAACCACTTTTAAGTTTTTCTAATCAATCTTATCCATAGTAGCATTGTTTCGTGGGTTTCTTTGTTTGCTTTTTTTAATGAACTAACTGAATAAAGTTAGTAATGTGGAAGGCCCAATTTGTAGTGCCTATATCTCGTAATCTTGGTTGCTCGGACTTAAAAATGCTGCCAGACCTATGTTGGATCCTCCAAATATACACTAGTTTTGGGAGGACTCGACACGCACCCGATAACATTTTTGAAGAGTTCGAACAGCATAGCTCGTAATACAATTGATATATGCCGTGTGCGATAGGTGAAAGCAAGCTTTTCCTAGTCAGTGCTGCTATAACTAGGTGGTGAATTAAGAATGGATATTATTATATTGATTCTTTCTTAGATTATAAATATGGGTAACGACCAGTTTTTCTTTTTTTCTTCTTCTGTTTTTCAGCAAGAATACTGAGTTTCACCTCTATCATGGTGATAAAGTTTTACTTAAGCAATGAGACTCAGAATTCTTATAATTCATATTTTTGCTCAGTAAAAGGCTGCTAGAATGAGAGCACTGATTATAGTGTTTTAAAGTAAAACTGTTTGACATTACTAATTAGTTTTTTTTTATGCAGGCACCCAATATAGGAGATGGCGTTCCGTCATCAACTGGGCCAAGAAGATCCTTTGATAGAAGTAACTACGAAAATGCAACAAACGACAATTAGTAATCATTGTTAGGATGAACTATGATTTTTTTTTTTTTTTTTTTTTTTTTTTTTTTTTTTGTGCTGTAAATGTTTAATAACTCTCTTAACTCTCTGCAACTTAAAATTGAATCTTGGATGATGTGGATTTTGGGCACTTATGCTTTAATATGATGAATATTTTGCTTATCTAATTCTCTACTATAACTTATGCTAATTATTACGTTGGGTGCTTGATAACATATTATGATGGATTTTGTGCGGTAGAAAGGATAAAGGATGTGGAATTAAAAAAATTAACATTAAAAATATTATAATTATGACAGTGTAATCTGGCTATAATTTGAAAGGAACAGCAATTACGGCGGTTAAAAACCGCCACAATAAGCAAAGTAAACCGTCGTTCTTAAATATGCATATTGCGGCGCTTTTATCTGCATATTCCGGCGGTTAAAAGAAATTAACCGCCGTATTACACCTTTTGGCGGAAGCGATTATGGTGGGTATGTAGGCCGCCATTAATGACAATTACGGCGGTTCTTAACCGCCGCTATAAGAAAATCTGACCGCCGCAATTACCCGAGTCTTTTGTAGTGTATATAGTGAGAGTGTAAAGATTTTTCTTTAAGAATATTGTAGTTTTTATCCTGTTATAGTAGGTGCAAAACTAAAAGCTGAAATGGGAAGGAGAAAAAAGGAAGGACTATCTATTCGATTGATTTACCTTTTATTAATGCACTTGGACGGACAAACCAAAACCATTTTCTTATTAAAGTAGATTGGTATTGACCATATAATTGGAGCAGAACTTGAATATAGTAGTCTAAGAAGCTAAGTACCCCAACTGGGTCGATTCTTCTTCAGCCAAATACGATAAAAGTAGAACTTGCACAATGAGCAATAGCATACGGGGAAATCCATGTTTTTTCTTTGCCAGTTTCAAAACAAGGACATAGTAAAGACCATTGATAGTTCATTCCCATTAGTGTGCTAGCATTGTCTAACTTAGAATGTTTGATTTTTTTCTCTGGAAGTAAACCATCTTTTCATCTTAGGAAAAGCGAATTCAAGATTTGGAATTAGTAGGATATATAACCTCTGCTTCTCTTAATAAAAATCCTACTGCTTCCTTGATAATGCAAGAAGCTACATAAAAAGTGTCTTTGTTTTCTTGTTCTTACACCGTGGAAATTAAGAATGTCTAAAGTATGATGGCAACAAATTAGAAGTATGCTGTGACAGAACCTGGTTCCTCACTTCTCTTATACAAGAAGTACAAAATACAGTATATTCTTAGCCTAATTGAATTCACTCCCAAAGAAAGAAAAAAAATCACAATCTTTAAATGTGTAGGAGTATCAGCATTTCATGATATTTGTGTGCTAACCGCCCAAGAAATTAAGGCAACAAACCCTTGGCTCACATAATATATATACAATACTCTTTAGTTTCTCATTTGCACAAACACCAAATACTAAAACTACAATCACTCTTATATCAGTAGAAAAAGAAACAATAGTCATGAAGCTGATCTATAATCTGATCATTCTCTTGCTAGTTCTAGCACCACCAGCAATGGCCGAGCCTTCATATATCATAGTCTCGAAAAGGCTAGTACCATGTTATTCGTACATTGAAGGGAAATATCATTCAATCATGCCATCAAATAGGTGCTGCAGAGGACTGAATGACATAGCTGATATGGTGAGAAATGGAGAGAAAGATCGTATAACTGTTTGCAAGTTTATAAAGAGAGCACTTTTACATATTACTTATGAACCATCTCTTATCGCTATTGCTTCACAACAGTGTCAAACGCGGTTATCTCTGCCTCCCATTGGCCATAACACCAATTGTTCTTAGACATACTTTGAAAGGGGCTGATATATATAGCATGAGGCAGTCGATATATTTAAACTATACACTATATTGCAAGTTTTAGTTTCTCTCTCTCTCTTCTTTTTTCTTCTAAAAGCTTCGTCTTTATATTCCTCTAATCTGAATAAGTGTCACATTTGTTTTTTAAGGTCAAGTTGCACTATTTTGAATCATTCTCTTGTTTTATGGATAAAAATTAATTAAAGAAAAATATCTTCATCTTGACTATGACTATCTACATCTTGCCATTCACATTCATAATTTAATCGACAACAACATTCAAAAATATCTTAAATCTCTTTGTTTCCAACGCAATCTGTTGAGCAATTGAAAGTTCATCTTCATCATGAATCTTCAATTCTATACCAAGTTATGCAAAAAATAGAGAAATAAGAAACGATTATAAGTAAAATATTGAAGATAAACATACCTCTTATTTTTCTTTTTAATAATCATTATCAATTAAAGTAGATAAATAAAATAGTAGTAATAATAATTTCTAAAGTTAGAGTCTGTAAAGCTGAAAATTGTTATACATTAATTATTGAAGATTGTAGAATTTATGTGGTTGTATATTGATTCCACGCAAAATTTAAAAAGCAACAGTCTGTGGTGGAATCTAAAATTTATACAAGGGGATTAGAAAAAACTATTATGTGACAGTTGGTATTTGAACATATGACCTAAAGCAAATTGGATCCCCTTTTACTATTATACTTGAATTTTTCTTTATATCAAGGAGATTTAATAGTCTTTTCTGAAAATTTCTCAACTTTTATAGATTTCAGTAGTGTTACAATCACTTTTAGGGGCAACAAGCCGGACAATTTGAATCATCACAAAAACAAGGACAATCAAAACAACAACTCTGTAGTTTTCTGATTTGGCGCAGCATTTCCTTAGGACTATTCTTAGATGACAAGCTGCCAGCCGCAGAAAGGTCGAGATCATTAGTGTTGCCTGCATCGGCTAATATCAGCCGTTGCTTGTTAGCATTTGTTGTAGTACTGCAGCTAGCAGTATCACCAAGATGGAACCAAACTGCAAATATGAGAACCATGAAAAGTGTGAATGTTACCACTTTGGTTATCGCCATCTCGACTCGAGTTATGAATGAATGGATACATAGGTTTTCCTGTAGGAAATATATACACACACAACCAGCTAGCTATTCTGGAGATTGGGAACGTGATTCCTATGTAATGAGCATAGTCGATGTTTGATAGGCATGAATCATGAGAATGGTGGCAATAAACTAATGCATTTTACTACCAAGTTGGTGTTTAAACGCGTGGGCTGAGGCATGCCAGTTGACTTAGGTGTGTTTAAGAACGACTTGAAATTCAGAAATCAACAATAATATTCTCTCCTTTCACTTTTACTTGGCACATTTTGACTTTTCACGCCCCTTAAAAAATAATAAATGAAGTGCATAATTTACCATGATACCCATATTAATTGATACATATTTTATTGGATTTGAGAAAATAATTTGAAATGTGTAATAAATACTGTGTAGGTATAACAGGAAAAAAAAGTCATCTTCTCTTGATATGCATAAAGTGACAAGTAAAAATGAAAACCTATTTATAGTATACATGCCAAGTAAAAGTGACCGGATGGAGTATAAGAAAGGAACTCTAGTACTCCAGAAACTTTGCTCCTTTTGATTTCTCTCTCTCTCTCTCTCTCTCTCTCTCTCTCTCTCTATATATATATATATATATATATATATATATATATATATATAAGAGAGAGCAATAAAAAAGTAAGCTGGCACCTCTGTTTGGCCAAAGAACTCACTTATCTTTTTTCTCCTTTTTTTGGGCTTTTCCTCTAATTTTTTATTAAGTTTAAATGTCTTATTTTCTTTGTTCCAACTTGGAGAATTTAAAACGTTGCAACAATTTAACTAATGGTTACAACGATTGAATTGATAATAAAATGGGTCATTAAAGTTGCAACCATTGAATTGAAATAATGGGTCATTAAAGTTGCATAATGTCACGATCTAAAAATTTACTAGTCGTGATGACACCTAACCCAACCCGCTAGGTAAGCCAACTATCCTATCCAATTCCAACAATATTCCATAAGATAATTTAATTACAAGAGAATTATCTAAATTTTATACATTTCTCGAGGACTAGTAGTACAAATCATGTGCTTCTAAGAATAGAATTTACAAAGACGATATGAATTAAATACATCTTCTATTTGAAAGTACATAAACAGAGTTCTAAAATCTAAGGCTACTATGAACAAGAGGCAGCTACAACAGGGATGCGGCCACATCTTCCAATCCAACTCTCATCGAACACAACAACATCGGCATCCGAGATTTGCACACAATGTGTAGGAAGCGTAGTATGAGTACAATCGACCCCATGTACTCAAAAATTAACAAACCTAATCTCAGATTAAAAGTAATGACGAGCTGGAACATAGGTCGGGTCCAATACCAATAACCAAATAGATGTTCATAATAGTGTAAAGCAAATAAATAAAGAAATAGCTCAGAGATAAAGTGCTAAGACTTTTCATAGCTTTCCGAAAAGAGTTCCGTTTTTCAAGTATACCAATAAAAGCCCAAATCCTTTACTGAAAGCGTCAAGAATATGAGTAAGTTTGAAAACTGTAACTTTTCCTAAAAACCCTTTCAACAGTAAATATGATGTTTCATTTTCTTTCCAGATAGCATGTGTGAGATGCCTCTCTATGCCCACATATCAATGTGCATAAAAAGTCAAGAATGACGTGATACCGTACAGCATGAGGAAAATGCATCTCTATGCCTGTATGTCATGTGCATGTCAAATGCAATGCGACTCAGTAATAAAACCATGTGCATACTCTCAGAGTATTCACTCAATCCTCACAGTCACTCAGTCCTCATAGTCACTCAGCCCTCACAGTTACTCAGTCCTCCTAATCACTATTCTTACAATCAGGCCCTCGGCCTCACTCAATCATCAATCTCTCCAATCTCTAGGGCTCTCAATGTCATGAAACTAGCCCGAAAACAATGATATGATGTATCAATAAATAACAACTGAGACTGAGTTATGATATGAATGCATGAATATGACTGAGTACGAAATATCAATGAAATCGGTGAGGTGACAGCAAGAAACGACCACCTTGGGTCCTAACAATATCAGCATAAAGCCTAAACATGATATCTAACATGATTGATAGCTCAATTAATTAATCACATGGTGAAAACACAGATATCAATGAACTAGGGTCACTAAACGGTGCCAGGGAAAACAAAGGAGTCACAGTTCACAGGGTGCACGCCCACACGCCGTCACCTAGCATGTGTGTCACCTCAATACCAAACACACAACACATAATTTGGGGTTTCATACCCTCAACACTAAGTTTAGAAGAGTTACTTATCTTGAACAAGCGATTCCAACACCGAGCAAGCCAACCGATGTGCCATCTCGCATGTTCCGACCTCCGAACGGCTCGAAACTAACCAAAAATAACTCAAATACATCAATCAATGCTAAAGGAATCAATCCCAATCAAAAAGGTCGAATCTTTAATCAAAAGCCCAACCCGAGTCCGTATCTCGGAACTCGACAAAACTCACAAAATCCGACAACCCGTTCAATTATGAGTCCATCCATACTAATTTCATCTAATTCCGACTTCGAATCGATGTTCAAAACTAAAAAATTCAATCTTTAGGCAAACCCCCAAATTTGACTATGAAATCATCAATCAAATACCAAAAATGAAGATGGATTCATGAAATATAACCAAAATCGAGTAGAGAACACTTAGCCCAATCCATATGGTGAAAATCGCCTCCAAAATCACCCAAATCCGAGCTCCCCAATTCAAAATATGACCAAATGAACAAACCATTGTTTTATATATTTTTCTGCTAGCTATTCTGCCTCGCTTCTCATGTCAGACGATCCCAGAACTCGCTTTTGATGCCTCCAATGGATTCCTTGTGAAATTTTAGTCAAGTTAGGCTCTTGAACCACTCTATTTGACCTTATATTGAAGGTTGTTGGTTTCAATATTTGGAAATAGTGTAGATTTATTAATCTAAAAAAAATCTGGCAACCCAATTCATAGTAAAATGACCATAAAATCCTCACACGATGTCCAAATTTGACGATTCTTTTTTATATGGCTCCGTAATTATGATACGGATCTAATGCTTCAATAAAAATAGAAATCGAAGTTCATTTGCTTAATGTAGCACCATTTATGCTTGAAGAAACGACGTCGAAACTTAAAAAACGAGCGCAACACAACCCAAACCTATCCGAAACTTACCCGAGCCCCTCGGGACCCTGTTCGAACATACCAACAAGTCCCATATCATAACACGGACCTACTCGAGGCCTAAAAACACACATAACAATATCGAAACGACGAATCACACCTCAATTCGAAATCAATGAACTTGAAACTTCAAACTTCCACAACTGATGACGAAACCTATCAGATCACATCCGATTGACCTCAAATTTTACACACAAGTCACATCTGACATTAGGGACCTTCTCCAACTTCCGGAATCGGAATCCGACCTCGATATCAAAAAGTCCACTCCCGGTCAAGCTTTCCAAAATTCCAATTTTCGCCATTTCAAGCCAAATTCTACTACGGACCTCCAAATCACAATCCGGACGCGCTCTTAAGTCCAAAATCACCCAACAGAGCCAACAGAACCATCAAAAATCCAATCCGTGTTCAAATACTAAAAGTTAAACTTGGTCAAACCTTTCAAATTTAAAGCTTCTAGTTGAGAATCATTCTTCCAAATCAATTCTGAATAACCTGTAAACCAAAACCGACGATTCACATAAGTCATAATACATCATACGGAGCTACTCATGCCCGAAAACTACCGAGCGAAGTGCAATTGCTTAGAACGACTGGTGGGTTCGTTACATCCTCCCACACTTAAACATACGTTCATCCTCGAACGTTCCTAGAGTTGTTCCAAAAGCCAT